CGGTAACTTTTCTTTGTTTCCTTTAAAGATCTTTGGATGGATTACATCAAAGAAGAATTGAACCTTGGTAGACCTGAGAACTGCGGACAGATCTACTGGCGAGCCATGAAAATGTTACAGGGAGAGTCAGCAGAGGTTTTTGTAGCTAAACATGCTATGCATCAAGCCGGCCATTTGTGAGAAGAGGAAAAACAGAGCCAACTTTGTGAAATCGTATTTTAAGCCCTCTGGCCAGATTTGTATTGTGAGTTCATCTGCAATTTGCTGAGAGATGGCAGACTAGATGGCTGTCTGATTTTGGGACATGTTTTAATTTAGTTAGTGCATTAGTCTTTAATTCCAGAAAAGAGAATTGCTATTTAGTGGCCAGAGGCTACTTGTTAAGGCTGAACTTACTGTAAGTCCTAAATGTTTTCCAAGATATATGGAAATCATAAACTTGAATTTCTTTTGTTACACCTGGTCAAGATTGAGTATCTCTAATCTGGACCTAGGGGCCTGTGAAAGTAGAGGAGAAAGTACATTTTTTATTCTCTCCTTATTAAAAAATGTATACATGGTGTCCATTTGTTGTGGGAAATATGGAGGGAGCAGAGTAACGGGAAGAAAATAAAAGCATCCCATAACCTCATCCTTTGGAGTTAAACTTTATTTCCGTTATGAGAATTAGATGTATACTGTTCGATCATTTACTCATTCATTCACTGAGTGTACATTATGAGCTGGAAAGAAGAGAAGCTTTTTCAGATGGAGGTAGGGATCTGGACATCCTGAGAGAGCTTGTTGATGCCACAGAAGAGGATTCTGGGTATTGGGGGCAAAAGTTGACCTTTTAGAGAGAAAAGACATTATATGTAAGTGTCTTCTATCTCTGGGACTGATCTTTAGAAAAGTGTCTACAGTGGGGAGACCCAGCAACAAAAGGAGGGCAATGGATTGGGAGTAGATTAGAGCAGCAGAGAAAGCCTGCAGAAGAAAGGGTGGAGGATGGCCTGGAGCAGAGAGGGCATTCTGGGAGCAGGGGGGGTAACTGTTTGAATTTTACCTTCCTTAACTGAGCATTGATGTCACTGGTAGAAGCATTCAGTGTATTTTTACTTAGCATTGTTTCACTTGTTATTTTTCCATGTTGTTAAATAGCCTTAAAAACATTTAATGACTTTTTAACATTATATTGTATAGATGAGCCATGACTTATTTTACTAATCTTTTGTGTTTGGACCTTGTCATTCCTAATTTTTTTCTTATAAATGCTGTTGATGAAAATTCGTATAAATCTTTGTCACATCCCTGTCATTTCTTTAGGAGATTGACAGATGATGATAGAATACTGAATTAAAGGGTATAAGTATTTTAAAGAATATTGACATGTATTCTTGCCAATCTGCAATGTAGAAGAATACTTTGAAGCAGTGTAGGAAAATGTCAAACCTTTACCTGCAATGGGTATTATATTTTAAATTTTTACAATTTGAATAGGTGAAAAGTGATATGTCATTGTTTTTTAATGTGCATTTTTTTATATTAATGAAGTTAATGTGCTTTTCCTGATTCTCTTGTTTTTTCATGTTGACAGACTTTTTTCTTACTAATTTGAAAGAATTTTTAAAATACTACTTCTTAGTTTGTCTCTCCTTTATTGCAAATAATTAGCCCCAGGTTTTTTTGTTTGTTTGTTTTTTTGTGGTGGTTTTGATTCCCAGAGGATAGTTTGGTGTGTGTATGATTTCTTTTATTGAAAACTCTTCCTCTTGCTGAAGACAACTCATTTTTTCCCCCCAAGGAGTTAACTAAATTTTCTGCAACACTGTGGCCAGTCATTTTTCTCTCTATTGATTTGTGGTACTTTTTTTTTTTGGTTAAGATTCAATTTATTTGAGAGAAAGCGCACATGAGCAGGGAGAGGGGCAGAGGGAGAAGCAAAAGCAGACTACCTGCCTAGTGGGGACTCCAGTGTGCGGCTTAATGCTGGGATCCTGAGATCATGACCTGAACCAAAGGCAGATGCCCAATCGACTGAGCCACCCAGGTGTGCCCCCCCTGCCTTTTAAAAAAGATTTTATAATTTTTAGAGAGGGAGCTCATGAGTGGGAGGTGCAGAGGGAGAGAATCTCAAGCAGAATCCCCCTGTTGAGTGGGGTACCTGTCATGGGGCTCAATTTCACGACCCTGAGATCATGACCTGAGCTGAAGGCATGCAGCAGTTAAATCAGATGCTTAACTAAATGGACCACACAGGCACCCCTGTGGTACTACTTTTATTACATAATAAATTCCTATATTAGAGTCTGTTTTAGGACATTTTTAAAAAAGATTTTATTTATTTGACAGAGATCACAAGCAGGCAGAGAGGCAGGCAGAGAACAGGGGAAGCAGGCTCCCTGCTGAGCAGAGAGCCCGATGCGGGGCTCGATCCCAGGACCCTGGGATCATGACCCAAGCGAAGGCAGAGGCTTAACCCACTGAGCTCCCCAGGCCTCTTGTTTTAGGACGTTTTTACTTGGAGCTTTTGTACTCTGAATGTTTGCTTAGCACTCGTTATAAAATAAGAAAAATTTCCTCTTTCACATTTCCATTTTAAATCCTTACATGGCATTTTTGTTTGAGGAAGGAGATACATGTTGCTTATAAGAGGTGAGTTGGTTCCTTTTTTTTTTTTTTTTAAGATTTTATTTATTGACAGAGAACCAGAGAGGGAACACAAGTAGGGGGAGTGGGAGAGGGAGAAGCAGGCTTCCTGCTGAGCAGGGAGCCTGTCACCGGGCTCCATCCCAAGGACCCCAGGATCACCACCCAAGCTGAAAGCGACCCCTAACGACTGAGCCACCCAGGCATCCCCCCTTTTTTTTTAAAGATTTATTTATTAGAGAGAGAATGTGTGGGGAGAGAGGGCGACTTCAGGCAGATGCCGTGCTGAGCACTGGGCCTGTTGTGGGGCTCCATGTCAGGATCCTGAGATCATGGCCTGAGCCAAAATCAGCTATAACCTGCTCAGCCACCCAGGCGCCCCCTGGTGGATGGCTCCTTAAAGCAACGCTATGAAGGTGGGTCACCATGGGGTCATCACAAGCCTGTACCTAGGGCTCAGCATCGCAGGTTGTGAAGATACATCTAGCTGGTGCACCCAGAGCCTCACTGTTAGGTATGGTAGCTTCTAGTCATGTGTGGCAATTTAAATCTATTGAAATTATATATTTTCTCATTTACATTGACTATGCTACAAGTTCTCAACAGCCACATGTTTATCATACTGGACACTTCAATTAATAGAGCTTTTATTTCCACCACTTAAGGTTCTAGTGGAGAGTGTCGACCTTGGTCCAGTTAAACTTGGGGAAACTTGACTCATAGGTCAGAACAGAGCACACATTAGTTGGTCATATTCTTTTCTCTGCAGAAAAGTCTACATAGAGAAAAAAAAAAGGTGCTGTATATCAACTGTTAAGCTAAATTTTTTTATAGCAGGAAACATTTTTATTTAAAATTATAAATTTGAGTGCAGTTGACACAATGTGAACATCAGTTTCAGGTGTACAACATAGCCCATTCAACAACTCCATATGTTAGCTGCGCTCACCACAAGTGTAGCTCCCATCTGTCATCATACAAGTCCACTACAATATCACTGACTATATTTCCTATACTGTGCCTTCTGTCCCCGTAACTTATTCATTCCATGACTGTAAGCCTGGGTCTCCCACTGACCTTCACCTGTTCTGCCCATTCCCCCTTTACACTAATGTTTTCAAATGTCTTATGGGTGACATTTTTTGAGGGAGATGGAGGAATAACCTCTCTGATGTCCCAAAAGATTGTCCTCCTGAGCAGGAATCCCCGTTTCTAACTTTTCTGCTACTTCATTGTTAAAATGATTATCACGCCCCGAACAGGTTTGTTATGGAGAGTTCAGGCAGTCTGGGGGAAGGCAGGGAAGGGTGACTTTGGATTTGTCCCCAAATCAGGCCCTGCCCATCTGCTGCTGGGCACTGGCCGTAGAGGGTCAGGCTTTAAACATTAAAAAAACAAACAAAAAAAACCAACAAAAAAACCCCCAGGAGCCCAGAACAGGCTACTGTGACAGCACAGAATGTTCAGGGTTATGGGGATTGTCATATGGTGTGTGCACATTGTTTTCATCATCTGTCCTGGTTTCTAATCCATTACCTTTATAAGAACTATCATAATTTAGGGTGGAGAATCCCCGGGCACATCCATTTGTGGGTGGGTTATGGTCCCGTTCCGGCCTGAGTTCTACAAACACCTGTGATGGAGAGTGAATTGTGGAGCTCAAATGCATTCAAACTTTTGAGAACTTGAGCTTCATAGACTTAGCAGGTAGACTCGGGTGATTGAATGACCTAACAGGAATTCGAGGTTCGGAGGCTGAAGCACACCCAGCGTGGTGGGGCAGGGATCCCAGCCGGCACCGCAGACCCAGCTAGACGTCAGGTGGGATGGGCACCGGCCGGAGCGACGAAAATCCGATCCCGGGACCCGTAGGTAGGGCGCCGAGGCTGTCGCGCGCGCCCCGCCTCTCCCGCGCCGCCCCGCCCCTGGCTTCCTCGTGACCTGGGTCCCGCCCCCCTCGGCCGCAGCACCCCCGGCTGATTGGCCCCTCCGCGGCGTATCCTCGGGCTGGCAGCCAGGCGGGCGCGTCACGTGGCAGAGCAGCGTCCAGGGCGCCGAGCCGCGGGCCGCCAGGCATGGACCGTCAGGTCGCCGGAGCCCGGGCGCCGGGGTCCGCCGAGCCGCCCCGGGGTCCGCCAGTTCCGAGCGCGCGGGAGTCGCCCCCCAGCCCGGGGGTGAGCGCGGCCGCCGGCAGCGGCGCGGGGCTGGAAGTTGCGGGGCTTGCGGGTCGGGCGAGGCGGGGCGGGGCGAGGCGAGGCGAGGCGAGGCGGGGCGGGGGCCGCGGGGCCGGAGGAACGCCGTTTGGGCGCGCGCTGGCGCTGGAAACTGCCGGGCTGCGGCAGCCAAGGGCGTGGGAGGGGGCGGGGGGCGGGCCGGCCATCGCGGGGGCGCCTCTGCGTAGTCGCTGAATGGGAGGTGATGCTGATGGCCGAGAGCTGGGGGCCGCTGCCGGGGGCCTGGACCGGGGCCAGGTGAGGGCGACGAGCAGCGCGCTGTCCCCGCTGGGCCTGGGACCACGGGTGGGGATGCACGGCTCACCCTGAGCGCCACATGACGTCTGAGGCGCGCTCTCCTTTTCTGTTTACTGAAACCCAAGGCCCGGCTTGACGCAGGGGTTCCAGAAACTTGTTTTCATTTGCGCGCCAGACAGCTCCTGCTGTTTCAAAAGACCGTTATTACTGTTATCACCTGTCCCTGTTTACAGTCAGTCAGCCCTGCTGGATGGTGAGCTCCGTGAGGGTAGGAACCCTCTGCTGAGTGCTGTTAACCCGGCGCCTAGTGTCGTGCCGCGCTACGATAGATGAGGCTATTAATGGGAGAGAGGACGGGAATGCTTGTTTAAGCATCAGAGATGGTACAAAACCCGAGTAAGATAAGAAAAATGCAGTGATAGACTTATACAAAAATTACTTTGGGGTGCGCATAGGATGATAGTGATTCCATCAGGATGTAGCAGGAAGGATACGGGCTTCCTCTCCAAGGGGACAGATCGGTGGCGCCTGCAGAGGCCGGGAGATGAAGAAGGACAGAGCAAATGGGTGGGAGCTTGGGTGGCACAGCCTCAGGGCCAGGGGAGAGGACTATGCTCAACAGGTTGAGGGGCTATGATGGGTTGGTGTGAATGCCATGGCCAATTTTATGTGCCCACGTGGAGGGCTGTTGAAGATTTTTGAGCAGAGTGGTGGTTGATACTGTTAAGGCTGGGCTGGGTGGGTGAGTGGGGAGGGCAGGGACCTACCGCAGTGGTGCACATGAGAGATGCCGCCAGCTGACCTGTAGCCATGGGCAAGGGTTGTCACTGACTACAGGAGGTAGAGCTTATTCATTACGGGAGGACTAGGTCATGAGCTAATTGGGGCACGTGCCAAGTGCACTTTAGAGGTAGGAGCAAAGAAGGTGGGTTTAAACTCAACCGGTATTCCATTCCTGCAGGGTGCCAGGTGTTGTCATAAGTGTTCTCTCATCATGAGCCCCCTGCAAGGTCAGAACAGTTATCCCCCATTTCTGGAGAAGGAATCCCAGGCGTGGTGGTTGAGGTTATCTCTCGGAGGTCACACTCTGAACGAATGGCAGAGCCGGGATTGCAACCAGATCTTTAATATGCAGGCTGTGAACATTTCTTATTCTATTTACAAAGCGATCTTGGAGGTGATGGGATTTCAGGTGATGGGAGCAGAGAAGCAGATGGTTGGCAGTAGGGGAAGAAGACTTCCCTTCAGCATCACTAAGGAATTACAGCTGTCTTGCCCCCATGTATCAGGAGACAGAATTTGCTAGAAAGTGAAGTCACTGAAAAGGTAAAACTGAACATGGTGCATGTAGCAACTGCAGGAAATGGCTACCAACCGAGGGCTTAGGGAACGAAGGAATGAGGTTGGAATGATTACAATTTACAGGCTCAGACGGGAGGCTTCGCAGAGCTGAAGTTCCAACTTCTGAGGAGGCGGCACTGACCACAGCCACGGCTGGGGTCTCTGAAGGCACAGGAGGGGGCCTGAGGGCCTGGGCTTCGGACCCCTGACGAGAGGGCCCAAAGAGGAGGTTGGCAAACTCTAAACCGGATAGAGCGGCCCCTGTAGGAGGGCGCCGGGGGGCCCCGAGTGTCGCTGGGGGCCGAGTGTCACTGGGGTGGTGTCCGCAGGAATAGGAGGGAGCAATGCCCTTCCCCCTCAGGCCTTGCCGCCGCCCATAGGGCAAAGCAGAAATGGGGGTTGCAGAGCACCCCCCATCCTCACAGAGGTGAGGGTGTGAGGTGGTAGCTTAATCCTGGGGACACCCCACACAAATCCAAGTCCTGGGTAACCGTCTCTCCTTCTTGCAGGCCAGCTTTGCCCTCGCCGACCATTCCGGACAGGAGCGAGAGGCCGAGAAGGCCATGGATCGGCTAGGCAAGTAGCCGGTGGAGACGGTGAGGGTGGGGTGGGGTTGGATGTGGGGACAGACCAAGGGAGTGAGGAAGAGAGGGACCATCGTTACATCTTGTTGGCCTCCTCTTCCCAGCCAGTTCTCTTTGCTGAGGAGTTGTTTTCTGCCCAGTGTTTCCACGGTGCCCCTCTGTGGTAGCCCCACTGGAGCTTCCATTAAGGAGGTCATGACCTTGTGTTCAAACCCTTCCCTTCTGAGAAAGGCCGCTTAGGGCAGCGTGGGCTTTGGAGCCAGGCAACATTATTTTCACTTTGAGCTCCAGCTCAGAGTCCTGGGCTTGAGTTTTGAGGCCTTAGATAAATCATTTATCCTTTCTTTCTCTTTAACATGGGGATAATAATGCTTAACTTGAGAGGCTGGTTCTGAGGTTGGGTGGGAGGATCTAGAGCTGTAATAGCCACCAGCTACTGGTACTCTTTAAATCTAAGCGAATTATAATTAAACACAATGAAAAGCTCAGTTCCCTATTCACTTTAGCCACATTTCAAGTGCTCAGAAGTCCCACGTGGCTCTTGCTAGCTAGCCTGTTGGAGCACAGATGAGAGAAAATTACCATCATCACAGGAACTCCAGTTGCTTAGCGCTGGTCCGGAAAAGGCACTGTGCCGGCATGTAGGTATGGTCATAACAGCTGACACTTGCAGAGTCAGGGCCAGGTACAATTCAAAGTGTTTCTTTTCCTGTTAGCCCTTTTTTTCTTTTTTCTTTTCTTTTTTTTAAGATTTTATTTATTTATTTGTCAGAGAGAGAGAGGAAGAGAGAGTACACGCGCGCGCTCAAGCACACACAAGCAGGCAGAGCGGCAGGCAGAGGTGGAGAGAGAAGCAGGCTCCCCGCTGAGCAAGGAGCTGGACCTGGGACTCGATCCCAAGACCCTGGGATCATGACCTGAGCCAAAGGCAGTGGCTTAACTGACTGAGCCACCCAGGCGTCCCAGTTGGCCCTTTTTTTCAAATAAACAACTCTCACAACAGTCTTGTCTTCATGTTTACAGATGAGAAAACTGAGGCATAGAGTAAAAAATTAAAAATGTGGTCAAACACATATAAGGTGTACATTTAGCAATTTTAAAGCATACAGTTCAGTGGCATTTAGTCCCAATGCTGTGTAACCGGCATGGCTTAGTTCCCGAACATTTTCAGCACCCCACGAGGAAACCCTGTACCTGATAAGTAGCTACACCCCCTTCCCCTGAACCCCTGGCGACCATGATCAGCTTTCTCTCTCCATGGATTTCCCAGTCCTGGACAGGTGCATGTGAGTTGCATGTCAGTGGAATGATATCCCATGTGGCCTTTTATGTCTGGCTTCTTTTGCTCAGCATAATTTTTCCAAGATTCATTCACGGAGCATGAATCAGTACATTCCTTTTTATGGCTGAATCTTTCCATCATCTGGATGCGCTACATCTTGCTTGGGTATTCATCCTGTGGTTGGGCATTTATTTGGGTTGTTTCCACCTTCTGGTGGTCGCAAACCGTGCTGTTGAGAATATTTTTTATCAGTCTTGTTTAAATACCTGTTTTCAATTCTTTGGGATATCTGCTGGGCTCTGTGCTAGTTCTGTGTTTTAAGTTTTTTTTTTTTTTTTCTTTTTTCAAGATTTTATTTATTTATTTGACAGAGATCGCAAGTAGGCAGAGCGGCAGAGAGGAAGGGAAGCAGGCTCCCTGCTGAGCAGAGAGCCTGATGCAGGTCGTGATCCCAGGACCCCGGGATCATGACCTGAGCTGAAGGCAGAGGCTTTGAGCCACTCAGGCACCCATGTGTTTTAAGTTCTGGAGGGCTTGGTGGATTCTATTTCCACTCAGTCACACAATAATAATTGGCACAACTGGCATTCAGACCGGGGTAGTCTGGCTTCAAAACCCATGCCCTGAACTATTGTTTTTTTGCTTATAGCTGCCATTATTTTACAGTGTTAGTAGCATAGCTATGTTTAGGCTAATTCTTTTCCCAGCTCTGACCTGCCATCACCATAGCTTGATGTGCTGGGAGGTCCGTTATCCTCCCCCAAACTTTCTTCCATTATTTTAAGACCTTTTGAAATTATACCTTCCAGCCCTCCCCAGTATTGGGACGAGGAGACGTGGCTGTCTCTTGTGACTGGATGGGTTCTACCCTTCTGCCTACTTTCCTCCTGCTGTCCCTTTGCCCTGTGCTCCCTGAGGATGAACAGAGAAATAGAAGAGTACAAATTCAAGTTTGTATTGTGAAAGCTTGTCATTTGTCCACATGCCCTTTGCCTCCATTACCTGTAAACTACCAAAACACATAAACTGTACTTGATTTGCTTGATTCCCTGTGTGAATTATAAGACTTTGCAATTGCCTCATTTAAGGCAAAATGTTTTATTGAAAAAATGATCAGGGTGACTGGGTGGCTCAGTGGGTTAGGCCTCTGCCTTCGGCTTGGGTCATGATCTCAGGGTCTTGGGATCGAGTCCCGCGTCGGGCTCTCTGCTCAGCAGGAGCCTGCTTCACCCCCTCTCTGTGCCTGCCTCTCTGCCTACTTGTGATCTCTCTCTGTCTGTCAAATAAATAAATAAAATCTTTAAAAAAAATGATCAACCCTTGTTCGAGAAAGGTAAACAGAACATTTTTTTTTTAAGTGTTCAGGTAGCTAAGGAACTCTGTACCCTTGTTTCACTCTTGCCCTCTCAGTAAGTCTGCCAGACATTTTCCAAGCACACGAGTAGCCTTGTATTGTTGCTAGTGGTTTTTTCAGACCTTTCTTCTGTTGATTTCTTAGCCAGTGGAGCACAGAGCATCCCTAATGGTAGTCCTACCCACGGTGAGGGCACCCACTCGGAAGAGGAAGGGTTTGCTGTGGATGATGAGGATTCTGACGGGGACCTGAATACCTGGGAGCTGTCAGAAGGCGTGTCCGACCATCCGCCCAAGGAACAGGCTGCTGATCTTTTTAACGAGGACTGGGACTTGGAGTTGAAGGCAGATCAAGGGAATCCGTATGGTAGGTGCGGTCTTTCTAGGGTCCTAGACCAAGGTTCGGAGAGCCTACTACTGTATTACCCCAAAGGCAGGCAGTTGGGAAGATGGACCCAGTCTCTGAGCTGAGCCTGATACCTGGTACAGGGCTGAAAGGTCTGTGACAGCTTCTCTTCATACTGGAAAAAAAAAATGCAAATTTTGCAGTTGACTCTTAAAATATCTGTGTGAATCTAGCAGCTGCAGAGAGAAGTGCTGTCTTCTGCATTTGCAGCCTCTGCACTGCTAAGGGCTCTGCTCTGAGAAGCACCACCCGGGGGGGGGGGTCCTCAGACCACAATCCCAGGAGGGCTCTGTGTGTGTGCTTTTGAACTGCAAAGGTCTGTCTCCCCTCCCCTCTTACCTTTAATTTTTTTTTTTCTTTAAACTGCTTGCAGATGCTGATGACATCCAGGGATGCATTTCTCAAGAGGTCAAACCTTGGGTGTGCTGTGCCCCGCAAGGGGACATGGTCTATGACCCCAGTTGGCACCATCCACCTCCGCTGATACCCCATTATTCCAAGATGGTCTTCGAAACGGGACAGTTTGATGATGCTGAAGATTGAGTCTGCAGCTGTTTGCCTGGTGGGTGGGCCTGCCCTCCAGATGAAGGTCTCTCTTCCTTTCATTGAGGTGAGAGGTCACATTTGAGGACACATTCCCAGTGATCCCCGAGTCGGACACACAGACTGGTGTTAACAAGGCCCCGATGTCCTCCAGTTCTGTTGTCGTTGTTGTTTTTCATGAGGTCCTCCTTGGGACATGTGAGTGTTTGTGTCTGTGTCAGGAGGAGTTGTGTTCTTTATAAATAAAGGTAGAAAAATTTGATACGCTTTTGTTTACTACCCCCCCCCTTTTAATTGGATACTTACCAGCAAAGCCTTATTTTTTCAGTTAAAGTCCCTAGCTTACATTTTAAGATTGGATGTACTCAGACCCTTAAAACTACTCTATGGAAGAACATAATTTTTTGGCCAGAGAGTAGAATCCAAGTCATGTTGGTGACTTTGTGGCTGATTTCTATTCCTGTTGATGAAGAGTTGACCATTTACTTAGTTAACAAGGACTTTCAGCAAGCTAGAACACGAAATGGCAAATAAATTAAACCAGCAATTATATAGCTCTCAATTGATGAAAGGATTTTGAACCTTATTTTCCATTTAATTTTTTGCTCTTTACAATTACTATATGAAGTCACATTTTAAAAAAATTGCCTTATTTTATTTTTTCAAGATTTTATTTGTAAGTAATCTCTACACCCAATGTGGAACTTGAACTCACAACCCTGAGATTAAGAGTTGCACACTCCCCCTGACTGAGCCAGCCAGGCACCCCTAAATTGTGTCGTTTTAGAGATGAGGAAAACAAGACTCAAAATGTTTTGACTTTGGCAAGATCCCAGAGCCAGGAAGTGGCAGAGCCATGCCGTAACCCCACACATGAGTCTGAGGTGTGCTTTCCTCGGCTGCTCAACCCCTTGTGAGTACCAGCCTGGAGGTGGGTTCTGGGGCTGTACCTTGGCAGGTCTGTGATGCACCAGCCCAACTTGCCTTTGCCTCTCTGGCCGGCTCTGGGATTGCTTCTTACCTCCCTGCCTCCCTCTTGAAGTTGAATCAAAAACAAAGTGTGTGAACAAAGTGTGTGCCCTACAAAGTGTGTGAGCAGGGCAGAACCTTATGGGGGACAGTGGTGGCTTTCGCTGTGAGGGGCCTCCTGACCAAAACCGTCCCAGGGAGAAAAAATGTTCCCTCTACCACCATTGCTAAAGGGACAGTCATAGACCATATCACCACACAACTCTTTCTTTCCTCCTCCTCCCAGTGCTGGAGCTGATTAGACCAGTGTGAAAATGAGCATTTTGGTGTGAAAAGGTGAACTTGAGAAACAGCCAAGAAATGCTGGGGGCTTGAGGAGGGTAGATGGCGGAACGGCAAGGCTGTGCTGTTGACGGGATGTGTTGGCCCATGCATAAGCTGGAGCAGCAAGGCAGCTGACACAATAAAAGTGAATAGAGGTGCAAGTCGTGAGGTGGGGGAGTATACAGGTGTTGGAGGGAGGGAAGAAAATGGGGTAGGAAAAGCCCATGTGTGTGAGAGGCTGAGCAAAGGAGATTCCCCAGGTCCTGCTGCTGTGATCCGAGGAGCAGCTGAAAGTATAGGACACTTTCATTTTGTAGTAGTTAATCTTTGTGGTTCCTCCTTTTGGTTGTTTCCAACAAAGTGGGTAAGAGGGCAGTAGGGTCTACTGGAGGAAGGATGTAGAAATTTGGGTATGTCAGGAGAGCAAGAGAAAGAGGGAGCTTAGTCAGTTGATTCAAATAGTGTTCTGGTGCCCGCCACGCCCCACCCCACCCCACCTCATTGGGTGAGCCAAGCACAGAAAGATGTAGAAAGTAATTCTCCAGGCTGTGCGCATTGGTTTTCTTGGGGTGAGGTGGGAAGTAAGGGGGAAAAAGTAATGAAATGGAAAAATACTAATGAAAATACATACTATAAAGCTTCTCTGATAATACTGTAAAGATGAAAGAGTTGCGTATGCAAGTGACAAGGATTAACACGAACAAATGCAAACGATTATGCGATGGAATTGCAGGGAGTTCCTTCTTTATTTTTGAAAGATTTTATTTATTAGAGTGTACGCAAGTGGCAGGAAGGGGCAGAGGGAGAGGGAGAGAATCTCACGCAGACTCTGTGCTGAGAGTGGAGCCAGATGTGGGGCTTGATCCCACGACCCTGAGATCAGGATCTGAGCTAAAACCAAGAGTCAAATGCCTAACCAACTGAGACACCCAGGCGCCCCTTGAAAAACTTTTAAAAATAAGAACTTTCCAAAAGCCTGTGTGTTAAATTAGATTAGGATTCAATTAGGATTCCTTTTTTTAATTTTTAAAAAGAACATATAGGAATGGAACAGAGAGAAGTGTCTAGAAGCAGTGAGTTTTCCAACCATGCTTTTTTTTTTTAAGATTGATTGATTGATTTGACAGAGATCACAAGTAGCCAGAGAGACAGGAAGAGAGAGAGAGGGAGAAGTAGGCTCCCCACTGAGCAGAGAGCCCGATGTGGGGCTCATGTGGGGCTCGATCCCAAGACCCCGAGATCATGACGTGAGCCGAAGGCAGAGGCTTTATTTAACCCACTGAGCCACCCAGGCACCCCCCAATCATGCTTTAATGTGAAAGCCTTCAGTCAATGACCAAGTAATTTTTGTTCTCTTGAAACTATAGAGTGTGTATGACAAATGAGTTTGTAGGATAAATTGTTGGATAGACAAAATTGTGGTTATTTAAAAAATAATGGAATAAAAGGAAATATTGCAATGATTTCTAACCAGTGTCCTATTATGAAGAATTGCAATTTTTAGGTACTCAAAAAAATGAAAAACAAAACACCAACAAAACTTCTGTCTGTTCAAATCCCTGAATGCTGAGCTGAGAAGTGTCAATCTCATGGGGAAATGTGAACTTGGATGTTGCTTAGTTCGGGCTTGTACTATGTGTAGGAATTCTCTCTGCCCATTTCTAGTCGTGGGGAGCTCAGTACCTCAGAAGGGGCCCATCCACTGCTGGCTAGTGCTCTTTGTTAGAAAATTCTCCCTTGTATTAAGTTGGAATCTACCCATTTGGTCCTGGTCTGCTCTGTGGTTCTGTCCTTCAAATAGAGGAGATTAGCAATCTTATCCTCCTCCCTTCCGGCTCTTTGTTTTCTAGCTAAATAATCAACAGGCAATTGCTTATGTGTGTCTGGAATCAGAAAGGGAGAGGAGAGAGGGCAGGAGGGAGGGGAAGGAATGTGGCAGGGATTTTTGAGGTTTTGGTAGGTGTTGCAGCGCTGACAGAAGTTGAACTTGTTCTGTGAAGGCTAGTAGTAAGGAGAGGGCCAAGGACAGGACCTTGTGGTGGATTAGCAACGAAAGGTTAGATGGAAGGGTGGGATTCCAGAGCCAGGCTGTGGCAGGGAGGAGGAGGAAAACCAGGGGAGGATAGGTGCCTCATAAACCAAATTGAAGAAGAGAGTTGTAAGGAAGGGGGTTGGCAGGGCGCGTGGGTGGCTGAGCTGTTAAGCATAGGCCTTTAGCTCCGGTCATGATTCCGGGGTCCTGGCATCAAGCCCCGTAACAGCAGGGAGCCTGCTTCTCCCTCTCCAGGTCCCCCATGCGCTTGTGTTCTCTCTCTTGCTGTGTCTCTCTCTGTCATAAATAAATAAAATCTTAAAGAAAAAAAGGAAGGAGGGACAGTCCTCTTTTATAGAGAGACACCAAGTAAGGTGAAGGCTTAAAAGGACTTTCTGGGATGCGGGAGTAAGAAAGTGTTTGTATAATGTACTGACTTGGGGCAGGTGCAGGGTGGGGGAGCATGGGCATTTCAGGCTTAAACATTTTGGGGGATTCGTGGGGCCACTTGACCTGCTGCCTTTGGTACTCTTGTTTTTCTTGACTGGGGGGTGGGGTGAGGGTTGGGCAGTGGTGCCTTCCAGCCAGCTTCCCTCAGGATGAGATGTGAGCCAGCCTGGGAAAAGTCCACAGAAGTGGACAGAAGCCACTGGAGAAATGTAGGTGCTAAGGGACTGTTAGGAGGAACAAAAGAGAAGCTTTTATTCTGACATTTCTTGCAAGCACTATCGTTTGCCCAGAAAAGAATCACAACTGACTGCTGCAGAGTTTTGAGTGATGGAAAGGAGAGTAAAGACGTGTTTTTTCAAGAGACTGGAGGACATTTGTGATGTGCCTTTGTTTCTCTCACGCCCTCTCTCCGTGCAGGCGTGCTGTTCATTGCCTCACTGGGGGCATGTGACAGGGTTGAAGACAACCAAGACATTTTTCTATCTTTTGTTTTACAAAAAGGGACTTACTTTGTTTTTAAATGTTTCTTTCTCTTTTCCCTCCCTCCCTCCCTCCCTCCCTCCCTCCCTCCCTCCCTCCTATCCACCCTCCCTCCCTCCCTCCCTTCCTCCCTCCCTTCCTTTTCCTTGTAAAGAGGCAAGGGGATTTGGGGTCAAAAGACTATGTGTCTTGAAGAAATTTGGAGGGAAAGAATGATCCTCAACCCCCCTTCCCCCAATCCCCTGGGTTGTGAGAAGAAAGATAGGAGAAGACATGTGAACCCTGCTTCCTGCTGTGTGTCCCTGGGAGTTAGATCCTCAGAGAGTGATAGATGTTGATGCTTCTATTTTTTTTTTTTTTAAGATTTTATTTATTTGAAACAGAGAGCTTGAGCAGGGGGAGTGGCAGAGGGAAAGAGAGAGAAGGCTCCCCGCTGAGCAGGGAGCCTGATGCAGGGCTGGATCCCAGAACCCTGGGATCATGACCTGAGCTGAAGGCAGATGCTTAACTGACTGAGCCACCCACGCGCCCCTCTTTGTTTATATATATATATATATATATATTTTTTTTTTTTTTTAAAGATTTTATTTATTTATTTGGCAGAGAGAGACACTGAGAGAACAGAAGCAGGGGGAGTGGGAGAGAGAGAAGCAGACTTCCCGCGGAGCAGGGAGCCCAATGCGGGGCTCAATCCCAGGACCCTGGGAACCTGAGCTGAAGGCAGATGCCTAATGACTGAGCTACCCAGGCGCCCATTTTTATATTTCTCTCTGGATGAAAACCTTTCAGTTTTTGTACTGTAGCAGAAGAAACAACCATACCATTCACAATTTGTATAGATAATTCTGGTTTTTTTTTTGATGACTTCACTATATTTCTGTTATGACTTTCTTCCCTTTGGGAAATTCTGGGGGGAATGTACACTTTCACTCTACCCCTAAATTAGTCTGGGGACAGTTTGGTCATCATGAGACCACAGGATGATATGGTAGGTGGAGCTTCCCCTA